ACTACGTCGACGTCGCAGGTACAATGTTCGCCAGGTGCTGCGTGCAAATGTGCCGCACTCACTTGATGAGGAGCAGGTGTGCTGCATTGTAATGTGCAGCGAATGATGTGCCACGTTATCGAGTAGATGTTCACGAAAGGTAGTAACCAAGATTGCTAGTTATCCTCATTTGTACACGTGCGTATCTCTGAAATTTTCCGTGTGTACCCACGACTTTGATTCCACAACCAACGTTCAGACCGAAGATCAGCAATCAGCCAGGAGGTAATGACCAGTGTGCTCAAGAATTATGCTTTTAATATCATGTATAACCAATGGGACACTTTTGTTTAGAAAAGTGTCCATTTTCAGCCAGCATTAATCAACAATTCACTTAATTGTGAATTGATGATTCTCCAGTTAAGATCAAGTCTACTGTTCAGTATTAAAATATTGAATTCTCAAGTTTATGTCATCAGTAAGTCTAAGCTTCGAGTTAAGTTTGTACGTTCAGTTTTAGTATTTCCGAGGACGTAAATATTTTAAGGAGGGTGGATTGTAACACCCCAAATTTTATTAATAAAGGAAAATACTAGCTTTTAAATATAAGCTAGCCTTTGTTAATAAATATTCCTGTCAATGTTTAAGGCTAAGTTGTTCAGCTCGATAAATTCCAAGTTCGAGGTTATATTCGGTTAAGTTTATTTATTAACCGAGTCATTGATAGTAATTAATCTCAGCCCGTTTACTTAATAAAATGGACATCGGCAAGTTGGAATTGATTAGTCCAATGTTGAAGTATTAATTAAGTTAAGAATATTCGAATTAAATTTTGAAGTTAAGTTTCGACCGATATCATTTAAGTTCATGTACGTGCACCATTCCTATACATCGATGCGTTCACATTAGGTACACCATCCACTACATGTTTGTGCCTAAGTATTGAGGCCATGTTCATTAATGCGTCATTAACTAGACTAATCACTAATTATGCATGCTCATTAACCGAGCCTAAGTTCTAAGTTAAGAGATTGTTATCAAGTTAAGAAGTTTGTGCTTAGTTATCGCCGAGAGAAGGAAGAACACACGCACGTATACATGCTATCAATTGGAGGTGAAAGTTCACGCAAAGCTTAACACCATTTCATGATCAATCAAAGGGGAAATGTCATGTCGACCATCTTGTAATGTATATGTAGTCATTTTATAAAAATTAAGTTTAAATCATGTTGAGCGGTCCATGTATAACGCCAAGATACCTCAAACGTGCCATTTAGGTCGTCCCGAGCCATTTTCATTTCTATCCAGCAACCCTCGTACAATTGATGTCTTAATGGTCCTTATATGTCATGTTATGCTTAATTAAGTAGGAGTTGTCGGAGGAAGTTACCCAACGGCCGAGAGGATCGGTCAAAGTCGTGGACCGCGCACATAGCGCACACCAAGGTCGGTTTATGTCCTATCAAGCCATTTTAAGTTATATTCTAAATCTTCCGAGCAATTTACGTGTTTTCGGTCATTTTATATCATGTTATATGGATTCAAGTCAGGTTTGCTTGAAAAGTAGCTGGACGGCCGGCAAGGTGCCGACCGTAGTGCTCAGTCCGCACATAGCGGCTGCAGCGCCCGGTAGTCAAGTGAGGCCTGCGGGTGGCTTGCAGTGCCCAGCCAGGTGTTGTCTGTAGTCGTGCCGCAGCGCCTAAGCGCCTCACAGTGTGTAGGCGTCAGTCAGCCAGCAACGGCCTGTCACCCGCTGGCAAGTCCCAGCGCCTAGTCGTCATCGGTTGTGCCCAGTAAGCACCCGATGACCGCCCCTTGTACACGCGTAGTGCTAGTCACACCGTCAGTGCACGAACCATGCCCAGTCACGCCCTGCCGGCGTCAGCAGCGCCCGGCAGCGTTTTGGCGCCAAGCCACGAGTCATGTTCCCTTGCCCTGAACCCAGTGGTGCACGGGCTAACGCCCGATAGCTCCCAGTCATGCCCAAGCAACGCTGTCTGT